TTTCCCCGATTATTTCATTTCCTTTCCCCGATTATTTCATTTCCTTTCCCCGATTATTTCATTTCCTTTCCCCGATTATTTCATTTCCTTTCCCCCGTTTATTTCATTTCCTTTCCCCGATTATTTCATTTCCTTTCCCCCGTTTATTTCATTTCCTTTCCCCCGTTTATTTAATTTCATTTCCCCTGTTTATTTCTTTACCCTGTTTATTTCATTTCCCCCGTTTTCCCCATCCCCATTCCCCCATTTATTTCATTTCCCCCATTTTCCCATCCCCATTCCCCCATTTATTTCATTACCCCCATTTTCCCATCCCCATTCCCCCATTTATTTCATTACCCCCATTTCCCCATCCCCATTCCCCCATTTATTTCATTTCCCCCATTTTCCTGTCCCCATTTCCCCATTTATTTCATTCCCCCCATTTTCCCATCCCCATTCCCCATTCCCACAGCTCTCCCAGGACACAATCCCACTGGAAGGGCTCCTTTGGCTGCCCCATCCCACGGGTGGTGTGTGCTGAGCATCACTCAGGGTTTGAGTGATTCCTCCTCCCTGGCTCCTCAATCCCCTTGCATGTCCTGGATCTGAKCTCCTGGGTTATTCCTTCTGCTCTGCCTCAGTTTCCCCRCTGTGRCACCACCCTTGGGGGTTTGGAGGGAGCTGTAACAGAGCTGGCCCGGCTCATTCCACCCTTCCCCAGGGCTCTGCTCAGTCCCCGTGGTCTCTCCCTCCAGGTATGACCGTGGAGGTGCTGGGCACCGTGCTGGGCACTGCCATCCAGGGCCAGATCGTGGGCAAAGTGGACACTCCGTGCATCGAGAGCCCCTTTTTCCTGGGCCTCACCAACTCCTCGGTGGCCATGGAGGAGCTGAACATGACCCACGACACCGGTTCACTCACAGACACCGTAAGCTGCAACCCCCTGCCTTGTTCTCCCTGGGATGAGTGAACTTTTAATGAGCTGATTTAGGTTTACATTAACCTTAGGATGGGTTGATTTTGGGTATCTCAATTTGTTTTTATTATTGTGGTTCCAACAAACTGTCCACCCTCTTCCCCTTTGATTTTCAAGAGCAAGAAACACTTTTGAGTGAAGCGTTTATGAGGCAGAAATGTGTACCCTGATGTATTTAGGGAGGGGAAAAATTCATCCCTGCTCCCTCTCTCTTGTGCAGAGAAACGCCTACATGATCGCTGCGGGGGTCATCGGGGGGCTCTACTTCCTCTGCTTCCTCATCCTGGTGCTGGGAGTCCGTGAGAAGAGAGGTGAGGCTGCACGGGGCTGGGATGCTCTGGATTTGTGGGATCGCACAGGGCTGGGATACTCTGGATTTGTAGGAACACACGGGGCTGGGATGCTCTGGATTTGTGGGTATGCACGGGAATGGGATGCTCTGGATTTGTAGGAACAGACGGGGCTGGGATGCTCTGGATTTGTGTGAACACACAGGGTCGGGATGCTCTGGATTTGTGGGAACACATGGGGCTGGGATGCTCTGGATTTGTGGGAACACATGGGGCTGGGATGCTCTGGATTTTCTGGATTTGTTGGAACACACGGGGTTGGGATACTCTGGATTTGTAGGAACACACAGGGCTGGGATACTCTGGATTTGTAGGAACACACAGGGCTGGGATGCTCTGGATTTGTAGGAACACACGGGGTTGGGATGCTCTGGATTTGTAGGAACACACGGGGTTGGGATGCTCTGGATTTGTAGGAACACACGGGGTTGGGATGCTCTGGATTTGTGGGAACACACGGGGTTGGGATACTCTGGATTTGTGGGTATGCACGGGGCTGGGATGCTCTGGATTTGTGGGAACACACGGGGCTGGGATGCTCTGGATTTGTAGGAACACACAGGGTTGGGATACTCTGGATTTGTGGGAACACACGGGGCTGGGATGCTCTGGATTTGTGGGTATGCACGGGGTTGGGATGCTCTGGATTTGTGGGTATGCACGGGGTTGGGATGCTCTGGATTTGTGAGGCTGCACGGAGTTGGGATGCTCTGGATTTGTGGGAACACAGGGGTTGGGATGCTCTGGATTTGTGTGAACACATGGGGTTGGGATGCTCTGGATTTTCTGGATTTGTAGGAACACATGGGGGTTGGGATGCTCTGCACTGGATTTGTGTGAACACACAGGGCTGGGATGCTCTGGATTTGTAGGAGCACACAGGACTGGGATGCTCTGGATTTGTAGGAGCACACAGGGCTGGGATGCTCTGGATTTGTGTGAACACATGGGGTTGGGATGCTCTGGATTTGTGTGAACACATGGGGTTGGGATGCTCTGGATTTGTGTGAACACATGGGGTTGGGATGCTCT